GGGTTTATTGTTTAGGGATTTAGGGTTTAGGGTTTAGGGGTTTAGGGTTTATTGGTTTAGGGTTTAGGGGTTTAGGGGTTTAGGGTTTAGGGGTTTAGTGGTTTAGTGGTTTAGGATTTAGGGGTTTAGGGGTTTAGGGTTTAGTGGTTTAGGGTTTAGGGGTTTAGGGGTTTAGGGTTTAGGGGGCCCTTAGGGACTCCAGGGGTATGTGTGTGTGCATATATATATATGTATATGGGTATGTGTGTGTATATTTATATGGGTGGTTGTAAAAATTATGGTCTCTCTTTGGGTGCGTGCCGTATTAGAAAAGGGATCCAAAAAGGGACCATAATTTTGACAACCACCCATATGGGCTCGGGGGTATACCCCCTTCGCCTTTCTTTTTGTAGCTTCTGTACCAACAGGTCCATATAGAGCTCAATAATCTCATTAGGGTTTATACGTTCCATTGTAATGCTTTATGTAATCATTGCAATCCTTCTTTCAGGAAAGAGAATATTCTGAGGGAATCCGCTGCAAAAGTTAGTGAAACTTATCGAATATGTGGTATGCTCCTTCTCCATAGTCATAGTATGCAAAGAGTCTGGAATTTCGTTTTTATTTGCAAGGATTGACATCATTTCCTCAATTTTAGTAATACTCCAACGGTTCCGAAAGATACTATATGTGTCTCAATGTTAATCAAATCCTTGGCACTACACGTTCCCAATTAAGAGACAATTATTCAATTTGTCAAAAAATATACAAGATTCTCGGATTTTGGGCTCCATATTCCTTCCAACGATCCCTTCTGGAATATGCTTCAGATGGAAGAGAGCAAATCCTGAACCTCTTGTTTTCGGTTTACAAAAATCTTGATTACATGGAATTTGAATAAACTCCCCCAAAAACTGCGCTGCTCCAAAATTGAAAGAATAATGCTCAAATCCACAGTTCATCTTCCGTAGCATTTAAATTTCTAATTACGTGTGTTGCAAATTCTAAACAGGAATTCTGCAATCCTGGGATCCTGTTCGCCTTCTTTTCTATGTATATATTCCATACTACAGGTATTTCAATTTAAAGAGGAATTCTCAAGTGTTTGGCTTTTTCTAGTTCAATGGTTCAACAGTTCAATGGTTCGACGGCTCAATGGTTCGCCGGTTTACCACATGGGTTTCGCAACAGCGCCTGTGTCTGAACCGCACAACATCTTATTTATCAAGCATGTTATACAAGGAAGCTACACGAAATGCAGGGGGAGGGTGTATATGGATAGATAGATATAGGATATATACATGTATATACATATATATATATATCTCTCTCTCTCTCTCTCTCTCTCTCTACATATATACTTATAGATAGAGATTATGGCGGGATTATGGGGGTCCTAGTTAGGCATTGTAAGCCCCCTCCCCCGAATACTATACCCCCCACGCCCTTGAGTATTGCATCTTCATATTGTGAAAAGCGGTACAACACCTGCAATATTCATGTTAGGGGGGTCAGGGTTGTCGTTATACTGGGGGATTATAGGCTGACCCTAAACCTTAAGGCCTTAGGCCTAAAGCCTAAGCCCCAAATCCCTGAACCCTAAATCCTAAACCCGAATCCCGGAACCCTAAACCCCTAAATCCCTAAACTTTAAACCCTAAACCTTCAAACCCTTAAACCCTAAACCCTTAAACCCTAAACCCTAAACCCTAAATCCCAAACCCTAAACCTCCAAACCCTAAATCCTAAACGCTAAATCCTAAACCCTAAACCCTAAATTACAGGGATTATTGTGGGCCATGCCCAGGTGTGCCTCTTGAGAGGCTTCGTCCCCTATCGAAGCCGGTTCAGCTTGACGAGCCACACGGTTCAAGGTTTTGAAGGTTTGGGATTTAGGGTTTAGGGTTTTGAAGGCTCAGGATTTAGGGTTTAGGGTTTGGAGGTTTAGGGTTTAGGATTTAAGGGTTTGAAGGTTTAGGATTTAGGGTCGGGGTGTGTAGGGTCTGGGCTCAAGGTTAATGGTTAAGGGCTAAGGGTTACGGGTTTAGGGTGCACGGTTTGGGGTAAGGGCTGGGTAAGGGTTTAGGCTTTAGGGTTTAGGGTTGAGGATTCGGGTATCAGGGTTAAGGATTTAGGGTTTATGGTTTAGGTTTTAGGGTTTTTTACATGGGAAAGAAAGGTATTGAAGAATTGGTTCCTATAGGAGCCAATGCGCTATTCCCGATGATTACAATGGCTTCCAATTTCTTTGGCATTCCGTCAGCCCTAAGCCCTGAAACCCTAAACCCTCAATCCCTAAGCCCTAAGCCCTAAACCCGAAACCCTAATCCCTGATCCCTAAAGCTTACACTCTCTAACCCCCAAACCCTCTGACCCCTAAGCCCTAAACCCTCAATCCCTAAACCCTAAACCCTAAAGCCTAAAGCCTAAACCCCAAACCCTAAAGCCTAAACCCTAAATCTTCAAACCCTAAACCCTAAACTTTCAAACCCTTAAACCCTAAAGCCTGAACCCGTGGGTGACGCAGGTTTCCATTCCTTCATTCTGTGTCTGCCACATCCCATTATGCGCTTAAGGGGTTTACGTAGGGTTAAGGGTTTGGGGTTTAGGGTTTAGGCTTTAGGGTTTGGGGTTGATTTCCTGCTGTTACTGATACACTGCTAGATATCATATTTGGAGGGACTCAGTAAGTAGGTTCATAATGGGGATAATTGGCGTTACTGTAGGGGTTATAGGGGTTTTCAACCTACTTGCTAAGTCCCCCTGACCCTCCAAGTAAGCTTTTGAGGCACAGTGCAAGCTGCCAAATTGGGCTTGAGCAAAACGTCCACATGACAAAAATGGCTTGCCAATGTAACTTGCTTAAACACTCAACCCTGAACCCTAAATCCTCCGCCTGGAATACTCGCTTTCTCTAGTTGCTTAAACCTTCACCCTGGAATACTAGCTTTTTCTTCCCGTCGTTTCTTGTTAGCAAGCAGCAGCCCTAACCATCACTAAGGCCGGTGGCTGAGCCGGAGGCTGAACCGATCGTGGACCACAAATTCAAAGTCGGCGACAAGGTCCAGTATATGAGCATAACAAAGCGAGAATGGCTTCCCGCAATTGTTCTCAAGCTCAAAGGCTTTCACCAGTACGACCTGGACATCAAAGTGGATGCGGAGGAGTACAAGATGCGCTATCCTCCTCATGATAATCATGAGCATGCCCAGGAAGATGCAGTGCAAGCCGAGGAGAAGGAAGAGCATGCCCAGGAAGATGCGGTGCAAGCCCAGGAGAGGGAATTGGATGTTCCTGTCGAGGAGGGGGCTGTCAACAATCATGTGGACTAGGAGCGTAGGGTTGCATAGGATTACATAGGGTTTAGGGATGTATTACCCCTATGATGGAGAATCAAATGGCGAAGAAACCGTCAAGTGAAATGGAATCTGTGGTTATATACAGATTTATAGGGATTATGTTGGGTGTGTTGTCAAAACTATCTTCCCTTCTTGGTTGAAATGGGAACCCAGGAAGATCACATAATCTTGACAACCTTCTATATAAACCCTAGACCCTAAAGACTCACCTAGGTCCCTCATGGGGCCCCGCAACCCCAAGCCATAATCCTCCCAAACCAACCTAAACCCGTAAACTCCAAACACGGTCCCCCTAAACCCTAACCCCCACCCTAAACCCTA